GCGCAAACTTTTTCAAGAAAATATATTTGTTTCTCAGAACCGCTCCTCACCCGATAACTCTAAAATTTCTTCACCCGATAGTTCTAGGGTTTTCTCATCTTCCTCTCTTCTCGTCGACTCCTCTCAGAACCGCGTCCGTCGTCTGCCACTCATCCTCTGCGGTCGACTCCTCTGCAGAACTAGACCAAAGTGGCAAGACCGCGTCCACCGTCCGCACCACTCTCCTCTTCTCGTCGACTCCTCTGCAGAACCACGTCCGCCGCTCTCTTTTTTCCTCTCGTCGACGCCTCCGTTCGCCGCCGGCCACCTTCACTTCGTCAGTTCGCCGCGCCTCCGCCGTCAGCCGCGCCTCTCGTCGCTATCCCCTCTCTATCATCTTGTGATTTGGGGTATATCTCTCTCCTTTTCAGTCATCAAACCTAGGGTTTCAATTTTTTTTCTTTTTCTCTATTTAATGAAAATTTTATTTGATTTTACAAATTAGGGCTTTGTTGTTTTGGTTGATCATTGAAAGTGGTTGGAAATTCTACATCCTTACTGGACAAGGTCAATCCGCAAAATTGAATTGGTATATGTTTTTAATTTTTGTTTAAATTAATTTATTTTCTCTATTTATTCTGTTTATGCTCTTCGCTATAGCCTTCGGTTGATCATTCTATTTGGTTTTTTTACTTTATCGGGATCTACAGTGGGCTCACTAGCCGAATAATGATGTTGGAGTATTTTTTTTATGAAGTGGTAGGTTTTGTGATGATTAATAATTTTTATGTGATAATTAAGGGTTATAGGCTTTCTTAGGACTGCACCTAATCCATTTAGATATGATCCCTTACATGTATAACTATATAAAATACGAGAAGATAACCGCATTTTTGCATCAATTATTGAAAGAAACCAATGTAACTTACCAATGTTCAGCTTGTTGGTTAATTCTAACAAAATAACTGGTAACGACAAATCAAGTTCAGCTTTAGAAAACATATCATAATGAGGACATATAACCTCAGTTTACCATCACAAACTAGTTGCATATCTACATTGCAAAAATCACCATATACTACGGAGTTTTTCTTACTGGCATTTTTATCTCATATATTTGAAAATTGCTTCTCAATAATTTTTTTATATTGAACTTAGTACTAATTATTAAGCAGTGCTTTTTGAAACAAAAACGTTCTGTAGTGGGCAGAAAATGATGTTGAGAGCCATATATGCAGTTTTAGAAGTGAAGACATCAAGGACACTTCCTTCACCTTCAAAGGGAAGAAAGGCCCTCATTAGGCAGCTAATTAGAGAAAGAATGGAGTATATGAAAACAATTTAAGAAATAGCTATCAAAGCTATTATTAAAGCAGTTAACTGAGGTTTAAGGTATTGGATTTAACAATAGGAAAAATATCCAAATTAATAACTGCATCATTCTTCCTAGCAAAGCTTACTATATAGCAAACTGTCAAATCCAGTCACATAGTAATTTGATATAATACCTGAGATGGATGGCCCTCAAAAATGAAAAAGTAAAGTCACTTTTGTCAAGTGATTAAAAATTATATGGAACACATTTAAAACTGCAATTAAGTATTGAGGTGAGCTTAAATTTTTTCTATGAAAGAAGGATTGAGAAAGCAGGTCTATTTTTAATCATTCTATGAGAATTATTATGACAAGATCTCCTAGTTATACAGATACTCAATGACCCTTGGAATATATCATTTCATGTGTTTTAATTCGCTTCATGTCTTTCTCTTTTTAATACAATCGTAAAAGCCCCTCCTAGAGACGGTATGTATACTTGATTATTCTCTGAACAACCAAGGTCATTTCTCATCAAGTTTTCCTACAACTTTGTCCAATAATCTATTAATTTTACTCATTACAATATATTATTAAGGGCCTAAGTGTACTCCAAAATTGAGAAGTTTGCTAGTAAGGGGTTCGTTTTCGAATTAAATGTCTACCTTCATCTATGTCTCAATGTTTTCAAAACCAACACCGAGCACTGCAGCTTTTACGTGCTAGTTTGTAGGCTAATATCTCAAATATTATATCATCTTCACTTGTTGAACTACACAGGACGTATCATCAGTGTAATTACTAGTTATCTAATAATTTCTATTCTTGTGGAAACACGAGCATCTGTTGCGTAAATCTAGACATTAAGGGTCATATCTAAACACATGATATTGTAATGGTGAATGGATCTATTTGCGTAAATCTAGATAAATAGTAATCATATATGAGAACTTATTAGATTTATTAGAAGATCCTCAGATTTATTTTATAACTGCAAGTTGAAGATAAAAAAAAGAAAAAGAAAGAAAGAAAAGACTCTTCCAATAATTTCATGTCATTAATGCCATCAATAGCGGTCTCGTCAAATTATTCAATTGTTGTCACAACTTCTATTTTATGTCATCTCAAATTTTTTGTCATTACTTAAAAAGAAAACCAGTCACCACAAGAACAAAGTTGTTTTACTGAATAAACTTTAAAGCAGTATGTGTATATAAATAAACTCAAAGATAACTTCTGTCTAGAACATTTTTCTAGGCTTACCTTAATTCGTTCAGCCAGCATATTGTTCATCCCTCTCTCACGGATAGCATTTGATATTTCATTTACATCCGCATTCCTTAATGCTTCATAATCCAGCGAGTCCATTGCGTCACTGCTCCGTTCTTTTTTTGCACCATCCTTTTGTACCTTCTTCCTCAGACTATCCCAATCATAGGTCTTCTTCTCACTCTCAAATTTTCCATTTTTAACCTTTGATTCCTTGTTCAGAGTTTCAGATGAAACCTTTTGGGATGTGTTTGCTTCGTTTCTTAATTTTGATTCAGCTACATCTCCGGCACCCAAATTGTTCCTCTGGCTGTCATCGTGTAAATTTGAGTAAGGTTGAGGAGTTTTAACTGCTTGGTGAGTTGTTTCCAAATGAACTTCTGCATGAGGGGCAGCTTTAACGTTGGTTGAACTTTCTGTATATACACCAAATTGCCTGTTGGTTGTCTCATTAATAGTCCTTTGATTTAAATCAAAAGCAGATGGATGCAAATTAGACTGGTTATAATCATTTATGAAAACATCAGATCTCTCTATTCTCAAAGATCCGGAGCTTGAGAAATTTTGATAACTGTATGCAGTACCACACAAACTTGACCAGTCAATAAAACCACTATGATCTGCGGATAGTCTCCCTTCATTGCCAGTAGCTTTCAAGTTATTCAACACTCTTCCATCTGCCATCTCCAGAAGCTCTCTGAATGAACTGACGCCATTGCCCCTTCGTCTAGTTAGCAACTCATCAGCTTCAGAGTTCAATGATGGACTTGGTTTAAACTGCTCAGTTGTTTGAGCTGGCAATTCTGACGAACTGTGAGATGAAGCTACAGAATTCTGCGATGAAACAACATCATCAGATGACTTCTTGTCATCACCTTCTACTACACTTGTATAGCTAGTGACAGTACGTAATGGCAATGCCCAAAACGCTGTCCGGTGATTCATGACCTAATCCTAGCCCTATTTCATGAAAATCCAGAATGCTACTGCCTACATTATCGCTTTCGAGTGACTCCTTGCTGCAAGCCATTTCTTTATTATGCATTTGCTCAGGTTGCTTGGGGCTTGATGAGCTTTGGCCACATATCTCTGGCTCTGATACTTCTTCTATAGATCTGCTTATAGTTTCAATTGTTGTCTTCAATTGTTGTCACAACTTCTATTTTATGTCATCTCAAATTCAGTGAAACAACATGTTTGGAGATTACTTACCTCTATAATTAGATTGCTGGTAAACACCTAAAAGAAAAATTATATATGTTGCTCGTCATCCTTCTCATTAAAGTGAACAATAATGAAACAATACCAATTATACATGCAAACTCTTTAGTTGATGAATTTTTATACATTATAAGTAAGTAGATATATATTATTGATGTCTCAATATATTTACTTTTCTCTAGCAGATACAAATCATGGATAGAGATAGAGGATGGATGTATAATACTTCTCGCGTAAGTGCCGAGTATATTGAAAAAGTGAATGACTTTCTTGATAAAGCATTTGCAAAAGCAGCTAAAGGGAATGAAATATGTTGTCCTTGTCGTGGTTGTTTTAATCGTTGTTGGCATCAGCGAAATACTGTCTGCAATCACTTAATTGTCAAGGGTTTTATAGATAATTATTACAAATGGGTTTTCCATGGTGAGGATTTGCCATCAAGATTGAACGTCCATAGCGAGAGTGATGATGATGATGCACGTACTCATGATGATGTAGGCGGATTACTACATGATATTTTTAGAGGCACAATAGAAGAGTTTTCAGATAACGATGAAGAAGACATAAAGGAAGGCAAGGTCAGCAAGAGTTATTCCCAGGATGCAAAACCTTTTCCAAACTCTCTTATAATTCGATTATACTTGCATAAGTGCATACATGGACTAAGCAATGAGGCATTTGATGATTCTCTGACCTTGTGGAGGGAAGCAATTCCAGACATAAAGTTGCCAAAGTCTTTTTATGAAGCCAAAAGGATTGTCAAGGACTTGGGTCTCGATTATGAAAAAATACATGCGTGCTCTAACGATTGTATGCTATTCTATGGAAATGTAAATGGGAAACTGAATAAGTGTAGTAGTTGTGGTGCTTCTCGGTGGAAGCCAAAGAAGGATGATGCAGCAAATGACTCCAATCAACCAACTAAAAAGGTGCATAATGTTCCAGTAAAGGTTTTGAGGTACTTTCCTTTAAAACCTAGAGTTCAAAGACTATTTATGTGTTCTCAAACTGCTAAATCTATGAGTTGGCATTCTAAGGAGCGCATCGAGGATGGGATTCTAAGGCATCCGGCTGATGGCAAAGCTTAGAAAGACTTTAGTGACTTCCCAGGATACGCAATGTTGTCCGGATGGAGTACTAAAGGCAGGTTGGCTTGTCCTTATTGCAATTATAATACATGCTCTGAGTATTTAAAATATAGCAAGAAGATGTGTTATATGGGTCATCGTAGATTTTTAAAAGATGACCACCCATGGCGATTTAATAAAAGATCGTTTAATGGTGACATTGAGCTTGGAAGAGAACCGATATCATTGTCTGGGACTGAAATTATAGATGAATTATCTGATTTTGTCAATGAATTTGGAAAAAAGCAAAAGAAAAAAGCAAATAGAAATTGTCCGTGGAAGAAAAGGTCAGTATTTTTTGATTTACCTTATTGGGAGCATAATAGATGTCGTCACATGCTAGATTTAATGCATATTGAGAAGAATGTTTGTGACAATATTGTTGGCACATTGTTAGACATTCCAGGAAAGACGAAGGATCATGTTAAAGCTCGCTTTGACTTACAACAAATGGGCATAAGACGAGATCTTCATCCTGTGCAGTCGGCTGATGGTCGTCGTGTTACATTTGCGAAAGCTTGCTTTTCTATGACATCACAGGAAAAAGAAATGTTTTGCAAAGTGTTGGCGGATGCAAAAGTGCCTCATGGTTGTGCATCAAATATCTCAAGATGTGTAAATTTGAGGGAGAAGAAAATATCTGGGTATAAGACTCATGATGCGCATTTTCTCATGCAATATTTACTTCAAGTTGCATTAAGAAGAAGTTTGCCTAGGAGTGTTGCTATTCCGCTCATCAGATTAGGTGCTTTCTTCAAGGGTTTATGCAGCAAAGTTCTCAAGCCAGTTGAACTTAAATCCTTGCAGTCTGAGATCGTAGAGATACTTTGTCAACTTGAGAAAATATTTCCACCATGTTTCTTTGACATCATGGTTCATCTTCCTGTTCATTTAGTTCAACAAATTTTGGATTGTGGGCCAATCAACTACTTCTGGATGTACCCAACAGAGAGATATCTTTGTAGATTAAAGTCATATGTGCGTAATAGAAGTGCTCCTGAAGGCTCCATAGCAGAAGGATATTTAGCTGAAGAGTCCCTAACTTTTTGCTCATTATATATGCATGATGGTGTCAAGACAAGATTTAATAGATACACAAGTATGTATGAGAGAGTTGATGTTGCAGAAGAGACATCGCCAATTTTTCCTAAGATAGGTCATCCATTGGGAGGAAAGAGGAAAAGAAAGGGCAAAGCATTTACATTAGATAATGTTGACTGGGTTAATGCACATCGATATGCCTTGTACAATTGTGATAACAATGAAGTTGATAGTTATATACGGTATGATTCATTACTTAATTATTACTTCTTTTTTAATGTTGTTGTCCATATTTAACTTTATAGACCTATGTATTTTGTATTGTTATGCAGTGAACATAAACTTTTGATTGAGAACCAGTCAAGAAAAAGAGGCAGAACAAATAAATGGACGGGAGCTCAAAAGCACAGCAAGGACTTCACTGACTGGTTTAAAACTAGAGTATCTGAGTTGGAATCAGCGCCTGATTATCTAAAATGGTTATCAATGGGTCCTAATTCTGTAGCAAAAAAATACAGAGGCTATTATGTGAATGGTTGTACTTTTCACATCAAGGCGCGTGATGAAACATGCAAAACTCAGAATAGTGGTGTGTCTGTAACCAGTCAAGTAGACAGTTATGCAAGTTCAAAGGACCATAATCCTAAAACTGGAAATGTTACTTTTTATGGCGTCATACAAGATATCATTGAAATAGACTATTGGGGCAAATTTAGTGTTGTGCTATTCAAATGTGACTGGTTTCATTCAGAAGAAGATGAATATGGGCTTATCCGCGTCAATTTTAATAACAAAGGCCATATAAATGACCCTTTTGTCATGGCATGCCAAGTTCATCAAGTTTTCTATGTGAAGGATCCTGTTGAAGAGGCAAACAAGAATTGGCATTATGTTTTAAAGAAGCTTCCTAGTCATATTTATGATATTGACCGTGATATTGGTGCTACACATGGAGGTGACTATTGGGTTGAAAGTAATGACATTGTCAGTGATTTAATCCCCACTAGTAATGATGACATTGATGATGTGGGTTGGTGTAGAGATGATGTGCCGAGGTCCATTGTTGACATTCCTCCAAATATATATATTCATGATGATAATATAATGGAAGGTGATGAAGACAGTGACTTTGATGAAACATATTGGGATTGGATGGAGTAAAGACATGAGACTTTCTGTATGTTTTGAAAGAAATGAGCTTTGAACTTTATGTTTTGAGTATATGGGTTGAATAGACTTTGTCATTTTCTTTATGATTTGAGTATGAATTAGTAGTTTAAAGAACGCAGAATTTTTGCAAGATTGCAGGTTAGGATTTTGTAACTAACAATCATATTCTGTTTTGCCCACTAGTATGAGAATTTATTTATGTGGTCTCTTTGACTTCCCCTCTTTTGTATTTGAGTTATTCTTATGACTTGTAATTTGAGGAAAAGTTCACCCTGATATCTTTCTGTTTATTATTTGATCTTAAAAATTGTAAGGCAATAACTCCTATAGAAGCAGTAGGATAGTTCACTTGAACTTGACGTTGTGTACTTTCTGTTGAAATAAATTTTATATGGTGACTGTTACATCAAAGCCTTTTAGCATTTATTTTTCCTGTTCTCTGATGAAAACATACCCGGGAACAAATTTTATGATGATTATCAAATCATAAGGCTTGAAATGTGAATTGGTTCTAGGAGCTCTGGGTTAAAGTTTTTGATAAATACGATGAATGAGACGAGTCTGTGCTTGTGTGTTATCACAACAAAGCTTCTGAGAGGTTTTGGGTAAAGAGGCATTACCATATGCCTTGAATTGAAGCCCATGAGTATGTTTTTTAATTAAGAACAGATATAACTGATACTCTTTATAATTATAGGTATTGAAGCATGTGCTGGTTAGCTGCATTAACTCTTTTTTGATGTTTATCAAGAGAAAACAGATCTTGTAGGTTTTTTTCTTTTTTATAAAAACTACTCCCACCACTGTAAGACATAAAAGCCGTTTACACAATAGCTAGTAAAACCAATAAATAGTAGCACTAGATGTGGTGTTTATAGTAAATCATGAAATGAGGTTTCTTCCAACTTATGAACATTTTTGAACAGTAGCACTGGAACAATATATAATGCTTCATTTGTGTCCTGAGTCATATGCATTCTGATGTATCTTTTGTCCTTGGAGTTACCAGGGAACAAACAAAAACATGGAAGCAGAAAAAAATTCTGTGTCAACCTCTTCAAAACAGAAGAGATCATTTGAGGTAAGTTGGGTTGATTTTTAATTGCATATTCTAAGTTTCTTTCTCTTACTGTATTAAATTTTTAACTTTTCCTTGTTTGTAGGTTACGAGCGCAGAATATGGGCGTGGTGACAAAAAGAAGCAAAACAGAACCTTTTATCCTCCGAAACAGATTACAAATGTGGCAACGACATGTCCACAAGTGCGCTCAAAAGAACATAATCGGGTAAATAATATGGATATTATGAGAAAGCATGCGCCTAATATATGTGAACCACCTACTAGAAATATTGCAATACAAAGAAAAGAGTTAGAGGTGCAGACAAAGAAGAAAATGATCCGTATGAGACAATCGAGAGAGGAGAAAATGTTGGATGAAATAGAAAATGCGGAGTGAGATATTCGGAAAAAAATCATAGAGCAAAAGGGACAATCTAGTAAGGCACGACAACAACTTCACAATCATGCACAAATAAAGGTGATAGCAAGAGGAGAACACTCGGCCAACATAGAAGATGAAGAGGAAGATATTAGAGAGGATTTCATAGAAGATGCTGAAGGAGATGTTAGTGAACATGATGACCAAGATGAAGAGGAAAATATTTGGGAGGATATTACAAACGAGTTTGAAGGAGGTGAGGACTTAAGGGAACAACCAACAAGACAGGTAGCCAATAAAGTGGTAGACAAACCTAAAAAATATCGAGGGCAAACTAAATGTGAAAAAATTCATGCACGAAGTGTCCATGATCGACAAGTTATTTTTTTAAATGGATATGGACAACCTATCGGACCGTCAGATAAGGCATGCAGTGAACTTAGCAGTTTCTTAGGCACACTTGGAAGAAACTCAAGTTTTGCACCTCTAGATAAGGAAAATTGGCACAAAGTTGAAGAAAAAGATAAAGAAAAAATATGGGATTATGTTAAGGTACGAATTTTATAATTAATCGCTAATTTCCTGTTGTTCTTTCCCTCTTATTTATATCAAGTATTTATGATCAAATTTTTTAATTGTCAAGTTATGTTAATGTAGGAAAAATATGACATTCCAGAGGAAGGAAAAAAATGGACCCTAGAAACTATCAATTGTGCATGGAGGCGCTGGAAATCTATATTGAAGAAGAAGTGTTTTGACGGGTTCAAAAATGACAAACAAAGACTAAAGACACGGCCAAATACTATACCTGAAATAGAATTTAAAGCCTTGCTCAAATTCTGGAATTCCGAACAATCAAAGGTAAATGAGAAAAAGACATGCTTTGAAGCATGGAGTAGTTCAACTAATTAATAATTGTAACATTGCTTTAACATGCTTATAGCAATCAAGATTATAAGATATGTGCTTGATTCTTGAAATTTCTAAGTTTCTTTCTTTTGCACTAAAAGCTATTAGGCCATGGCAATTCCTGGTAAATTATAGACCACATACATAATTGAAATAGATATGAATAAATGAAACAAAATATACATAATTGAAATAGATGGCCCTTAGGAAAAGCTCCAGAGGTTTGTTGATCATTGCTCCTCTTTTAATTCCTTGAAAGGATATTGCTTCCCTCACATATCTCTCCTCCCTTAATTTATATAGGCAGGCAAGGGGTTGTAATTCTTCAATGGCAAGTTCATTTAATTGCTGATACAGTGATTTGCAAGGGGGAGAAGTACCAAATCTGATTCGAAGTAGGAATGAGGGTATTCAAAGTATTTAATGATGTTATTTGGGTTATGTTCATGGACTTACTGATTGCTATAGATACGCAAATTTATTTTGCGTTGTGAAATTGACTCCTGGAGTTGAAGTTCATAATCCTTAACTAAATTTGGACTGATTTTTTTCTTTTTTCTCTTGTTGTAGTGTACCTTATTACCTATATCATTTTGAGGACATGCCATAATTTGAACCTTTAAAGTTTAAAGTTTGATGATTAATTGTCTATGTTACTACTTACTAGTTAGTAATTACTATTCAATAATTCTTACTATTTTATTTAGCTGGACATGGACATGGACAAACCCTTATGTATTTTATTATGTTGCATATATAAATTATTGAATTCATACTTACAGGAGTTATAGGCTCGTTTATCGTTTCTTGTTCACTCGTTTATCGTTTCATACTAATGGTCTGGTTGTTGTTTAAATCCACGTTCCTTCTATATGTGTAGAAAACAAGTGAGACCAACAAAGCAAATCGTGACGGTCTAGAATATGTGCACACTACGGGGACAATAAGTTTTGCGAGGATTCCCAAAAAAATGGTATTTCAAATTTTTTTTAGTGTTACTTATTAACTGCATCCTTTCTTTTTGTTCGTTTTTAATGTATTTATCAATATTTTAACTATCATGTCTTTATTATAGGAAAATGAGTTGGGAAGACCTCCAAGTGAAGCTGAAATGTTTATTGAGACCCGTAAAAAGAAGATAAATCCACAAAGAGAGAAAACAATCAATTTGATAGTATGTGCCACATTTCCTAAATATTAATATTCATATATTGCTTTTTAGGTCCTAATTTTCATATAACATGCATAGCAACTAAATATAAATTTTGCTAATGCAGGGTGCTTTAGAAGAACTCAAATCTCAAGATGAAGCTGATGATGCATGGGATTTAGTCAAGAGAGATGAACATCCTGGACGTGTACGTCTTAGGGGGAGGGGTGTCACTAAAACCATGCTCCAGAATAAAAATAAAAAGATCATGGATCCCTCCGAGCAAGTTCCAGAATCTGTTGTTCAAACTATATCACAAAAAGTTGAGCAAGAGTTGACAAAAAAGTTTGAAGAGCAGAAGGCAGATTTGGTTCATGGTTTCGCCGAGCTCTTGACTGAAACACTTGGGCAAACAATTGATCCGGCGGCTATTGCAAGACTTATTGCACGCACAAGATCACCTGAGCAAGGTGGTAGTGCACGAAATCATGATCATCCTCGCTCATCTGCAAGCAGCCATCAGCCACGAAATGAGGTAGTTTTTTCTTTTGTTATATCTTTTTTTTTTGTGTATTATGACAACTTGATTTGGATTGGTTGCTTCTTAGTTCGTCCGAAATGAGGTGTTATATACCTCATTTCGTCTTGATTTTTCTTTTTAGTAATTTTTTTTAGTATTCGGTTAAGGAGAATATGAAACATTTAGAAAATAACTAACTCCAATGTCAACATTATTCGATTAAGGAGAATAAGAAACATTTAGAAAATAACTAGATCCAATGTCAACGTTATTCGATTGAGGAGAATATGAAACATTTAGAAAATCATTTGGAAGACTAGTGAGAAGATCAATGAGGTGAGCAAGGGGGGAAAAATTTAATTGGTGTACTAACTAGAATGTATTGCTGTTTTTTGCAGAAACTTACGTGTCAACAAATGTAAGAAACATTTATAAGAAAACGAATTCACTGGAACTGAGATGCTAAAGCAAACTAAGAGAGGAGAACAAAGCTTACTTAGCAAATAACTGAGAGATATTGGAGAAATAACTGATGAATTTTCTTCTAATGTGGTTTGAACATAAATGTGATACCCCTTTTTAGTTGAGAATATCCTTCTTAGTTTAAATCAAAGTCAATAATAAATCATTTTGGACACCCAAGTAACAATGCAGCACCCTCAAATCACTGAGGCTTGCTTATCTGCACAAAATACACATTCTTATATCAAGGAACTGCTCCTCATTAAAACAGGAGGGCAAAACACATGTTTCCATAGACAAATCACCTTGTAATGATCAAAGTAGGAATGGATGCTCTGAATCCATTACAGTGCATTTTATTCTACTTGTGCTTACTCTTTTTTTTTTCTTGATGTATGCAGGAAAACATCTGAAGATCCATGCTTGTCGCTCTTTGGGGGAATTTATTTGTTGTGAAGATTTAGAACTTAATCGTCTCAATAGAGACATTTTGACCTTTTGATTAAGTAGT